AGTGACAAGATTTTTTTGTGCACTTTTCAATACAGAAAAACTTTATTCTATATTCACTCAATTTCGATCACTTCGGAGTATTAATCCGAAATGGCAAGATCTTTCTCCAATTTTTTAAAATACACCTTCTTCCTTCTGCTTTAATCTTCTCGTGCTACCACTGTATATAACTAGACGGTTTCTAAGCTCAGTTTAGAGTGCGAAGCATTTCGAAACTTGCCTATGAAGTTAAAAAATCAAAAAAATTGCATGACTTTAGTCAATTTAATGGCAGAAACACCCAAAAAATGGGATTTTCGATGATGAAAAGCAACATTTTAATGAAACAAACACAGAGAATTAGGTTTGTAATCAAAATAGTGCGCTGAAATTCATGAAAATATCCATTTTAATCAAGAAATTTGAAATACATCGATTTTTTCGTCCGTTTCATCATTTTCATGCTATTTTTTGATTTTCGTAACTTCATGAGCAGTTTTGGGTTTTCGACATTGCAAAAATAACAAAAACTCTTGGTGTCTATCGAATTGATGAAAACTTATTATTATTATTGAAAGTTGTTGTAGCATTTACATATAGTCTTGTTATCTTTAGTATGAAAAAACACATTCTTTAATTCAATTTGTTCACATTAGGAAATTGCTGGGAAACTTATATCATATTTTATCCAGCGTTTTGTTAAAATACCATAAATATCGAAATTTAGAGTTCGTACATAAGCTTTGCCTGTTGTATTCGTTTATATTAATATCAAATAATCAATGTCATCAACAGATTGTAAATTTTTGTTTTCTCGACAAATTTTTGATAAAGAAAGAACATAGATATTTTGCATTCTCGTTTTTTCTTGCACAACCATAACAAACAGTATTACTAGTAGTCCTCTAGAGAGTTCTTCTAATTAACAAAAAAAATGTCAACAACTATCGATTGATGGATTATCATTGCAAAGTTTCGTGCCTAGTTGCGCTTCATTATATCGACAAAATGAAAATAAAATATATAGATTATTTATAATATTCGGATTTTACTTTGGATGAACGAAAAATCATACAGAAATTCGAATAAAATTTGTATCATATCGAAATCTCAACATCTCAGTATCAGACGACATATCATTCTCGAGATCATTGCATCACAAAATATGAATTTTGCATGCGGACTTAGAAGAAAAATTGCTAAAAAATTTTTCGCGCCTCAATAAACATCTTCAGCATAATTTCATTATATTGACTTTGATTATTCGAATCTTTTATTTTATACAAGTCGAACTACTTAAGTTTCTTTCTTGTTTGAACAATATATTTTTAAAGCAACATCAATCGCGACTTTCTTCCTTTTATTATAACTGAACAACTAAAGATTTGTTTCTTTTTTTTTTGTTATGTTTATTTTGTCCTATTGTTATTATTAACATTAACATCATCATCATCATCATCATCATCATCTTTTTGCATATCTTTTGTATATTTACTGAAATCAAATTCTTTATCATAACCTAACATTTTAATTAATACTTGTTTATCATAAAAATCATCATGATTAATAAAGAATGGCCTGTTGTTAATTAACATTGATGTAAACATTCCAGTTATTGGAGGTACTTCAACATCTTCAGCACGAAATTTTATTTGTCTTTCCATCATAAAAAAATTTTTATAAAAACCAGTAAATTGTCCTGTTTGTTCATGATAATACAGTGATGTTAAATATCGTTTACATATTAATTGTATAAGAGATGGTGTTAAAAGAACAAATGTTGCTGATATTATTGTATAACCAATAGCCACAAATAAAGATGCTTCTGCAAGAATTTTTGGTAACATAATTGGGTAACAAATAGCACCACCTATACTCGATGCTAATGAAAGTGATTTAGCTGCTTTAAATGGTTTATCTAGTTTGCCAACATAAACAAGTTTACCAAGAATATCTTGACGAAGATTTTCACGTTTTGGTAATGGATTATTAGAATTCATATGGATGGATGAAACATTTCGGTTAGATTTTAATGAATTCATATCGGTTGATGAAGTATTTTGATTAAATTTTAATGAACTCATATCAATTGGTGTTGGTCTATAATCTCCTTGTTTTATTTTTTCAAATGCTTGAATTAAATTTGGATCAAAAAAAAGATCTTTTGCCTTTATTGAATGTTCTTTATGTTTTTCTTGTAATGAACTAGCTAAACGAATAAAAGAATTTAATCGAAAGACATTCGTCTGTTGACAAACAACGATATTTCGAATAATGGTTAACATTATCTAAAACAAAACAATGGTTTACATCAAATTAAGTTCTAATATTATCTATTACAATGATTTATATTTATATTTAATAGAGAACGAAATAACTTGTGTAATAAAGAACAAAAAAAAATACAAAATCTGTCAGAATTTATTATCCATAGGCACATAATATATATTTGTTTTTATGCCTATACTGCATTGAATTTCTATTTGTGCAACCTTCATAATTAAGCCTCTCCTCTTCAAAGAAAAGTTGATTTTCGTGAAAATTATGGAATTTGAGATAAATACACGGGAAGACAGTCTGTGGTGTGCTGTCTCATATATGACACAACTTTTTACTTGGCACTCGATTCTTTTAGATAAAGTGAAAAATTTCTTTTGCCTTCTCTCGGTTTATGTTGTGTTGATTGCAGATCCTGGAATTCTGGAAAAGCTTCGTTGTAGCCAATTTTTTTTTTGTTTGAGAAGGTATGTCAAGATGCAGAACATCGCAGAGTACACTTTTTAAATTAAACATTGTAACTACTATATAAGAGTACTTTCATAATTAGAGGGCCATTTTGTGAGAGTCTTTCAAGACATTGAACTTCTCGCCTCTTAAAAGATAAGCATTAAAGAAAAACGGCTCTGTCATGTCCTGCATCGTGACATACTCTTTCGAACAGAAAAGAATCAAGTCTATAGAGTGAAAGTCTGCAGAAAATCTCGGGTCGCCAAATAAGGTATTTTTTACTCTTGTTAATTGAATATCCTCCGAAAACATCAGGGTATAGCGCTGAAAATTTTATCATAACCTATTCACTATAGTCTCAACATATTTTGAAAACTGTATAGAATTTGAGTATACCTAGGTCAAGATCTATTTTTGAGGTTGGAGATGTTTACGTACAAACGCATTACTATGTCTAGTTGTAAATTTCATATTATTTGTTGTTCGTTTTTTCTATTCAATATGTGTCTTAACAATGATCACTAGCACGTCATTTAGTTTAAGCCGAATTACTACATGGATTCTGCTAAACAGATGATGATTCGACGCAAAGGCTTCAACAAAGCCATTTGGATGAGAGTGCACAGAAAATTCAAACCCGAATAGTAGTTTTCTGATTTGCATTCGTAGCGTTTGGGGAAACGATTTTATTTGATAAAGAAAATAATTCTGAGCAAAATGATACATCTCCAATCCCGTCATGGTCTTTCTTTATCGAAGTGCATTCAATTTACAGAAGACTCAAAAAGCATTTTTCTCTTCTGTTTATTGAAAATGTCAAAGTTTTTGCCGTACGTGGCCATTCTGAGACTTCTACAACTTGAATGCAATACCATGAAGAAAAGTCACGGAGAAGTTGGAAACATGGAATCATGCTTCGAATCATTTATTCTATTAAATAAACTCTTTTCCCCAAAATCTTCGATTGAAAGACAGAAAGGTGGTTTATCCAATCAGCTATATAAAAATTTTCTTGTCAAATTTTTGTTAGCTAATACCATCAAGAAGAAAATTTGTGAATACAGCTGCTTTAAATTTGTGTCTGTCAGCATAACTAATCATGAAGATAAGTGAAGGTTTGTAGTATTCATTTTATTTAATGAATTATGACTGAACTAGAGAGAGATTGAAAATGAGAATCGATCGAAACAGATCGAATTGACAAAGGACTTAAATTCGAGATCATTGCATAGGACCAAAACAGAGATTGTTGCAAAAAACAAAACACACATATTATATCATTTAATTTCTTTAGCTAATTGTTCAGCCATTGTTTGCGCACGATTAAATGCTGACATAAGTGCATCCATATATGCACCACGTACACCTTTATTTTCAAGTTCATGTAAACCATAAATTGTTGTACCACCTGGTGTTGATATATCATTTTTAAGTTCAGCGGGATGCTTACCTGATGTTATTAAAATATCAGCACAACCAAGCATTGTTCGTGCTGCTAATGTATTTGCTAATTGACGAGAAAGACCAGCTTTAACTGCACCATCAGCTAAACCTTCAACTGCAGTACAAAAAAAAGCTGGACCACTACCAATTAAAGCACACATTATATCTAATTCAGATTCAGTAACATTACCAGCATAATAAGCAACTTTATCGAAAATTGATTTTAAACAAATTTCAAATGAATGATTATTTTCATTATTTGGCAATGATGATATTGCATATGAACCATTACATTTTGCTACATTAACATTATACATAATTCGAATAATATTTTTATCAGCATGAAGCCATTGAGATAATGTTGAAATAGTTAAACCTGGAATAACTGATACGAATAAAATATTTGTTAAACGATTTTTGTCGAGTGTTTTTTCAATTTCTTGACATATTGATTTTATTAATTTTGCTTTCACAGCAAATAATACAATATCACTATTATTACATAAAAATATGTTTGATGCTGTCATTTGAATTCTATTATTAAAGCGTTTCAATGATGATTTATCATCGTTTGCAGATGGACAACTAATTAAAATATGCATCTTTTGAAGGCAATCTGCTTCATGAAGTCCATCAAGTAATGCTTGTACAATACGACCACCACCAATAAAACCTAATCTTATATTATCCATCTAAATTATTTGAAATAAAAAATTACATCAAGTTTTCTATCTAATAAAAAAACAACAACATATCTGATTCATGAATTGGTCTTTTAATAAAAAAGAAAATAAAAATTACAAGGAAAAATATATATATTAAATTATACACATATATCCATTCTTTTTTTGTTATGATGATGGCTGAACTCTTCCAGCATGGAATATATCAATAGTTGTTTGATGACATGGGCGAAGATCGAGATCATAATATCCAATAGATAATTTAGCTTTGAATAAAACAAAAATAATAATAATGAAAAATAAAACTTAACAAAACTTACATTCTGGTGGTTTGTAAAAGTCAAGTCCTCGACCAATTTTAATTATCCATCCATTACTTAACCTTGTAATAAAAATAAACTTTAATTTGTTAGTACAATAAAACCTCTCTTATGTGGACGCTATCAAGACCGACCGAAACTGCTCACTGCACGAAGTTGTTCATTATTGGAACGTTTTCAGTTTCTTTTTTTGTAACCTTTGCAATCACTTTTCGGCTGCATGAGGTGTTTCTCTTCTTCTTTCCAATAATTAATTAGTGCAACTTTTTTTTATGAGAGATGTTCCTAATCTTAATAACTTGAGTATAGCAACAGCTAGTGACCTGGAGTTTTCAGTAATCGAAGAAGAAGAAGTTCGGACGTCTTTTTATCTGTTACTATATAAGACAAATTATTTTAAAACTAATCATCTTCTGAAAAACATTCAAAACAGAAATTCATGAAATTGATTTTTCGTTTCAAAAAGATGTTGATAAAAATTCACAGAACTCTATATAATTTGGCCAAATAAATACGCAATTTTTTCTCCGCTTAGCATTGAGATATGAGAAGATAATCATCTGAATCGTTCCTTGAACTATAGATCTGAAGCATATATGAAAATCAAAATTACATCGAAAGCGAACATCATTTTCATGCATTCTTTATTGATGTTTTGCGAAGATTATGGATTGTAATATAGTTTTATCCTATGTAGTAACAGACAAAAAGATGCCAGAAGCTGTTCTCTTTCTTTTGTTAAAAACCACAGGTTGCTGACTGCTGCTATTGCCGAGTTATTGAGCTTACACCCATCCCTCTCTAATTCTGGCGCAAACATTAGCTATTAACACAAAAAAAAAGACATCATGTTAAACCGAGCAATGTTGCTATTATCTAATATTGTGTTTTTGTCTTTTAAATATTGACGGCTAGTCCATTCGCTTTTTCTGTGTCACAAGACTCATGTTGCTCGCATTGCAGAGGTTGTCATCGCTCATGAGACTAGAAATAAGCGTTCACTAGAGTCCGTCGGATTCACAGTTTTTTGGATCCAACGGGCTCTAGTGTTCACTCTGCCGATTAAGAAAGTGCTCATATTTGGAAGACTCATTCCTTGGAAATTCACTTGAGCAGACTATAGACTGTGTGATATAAGGAGATGCTCACATAGAGAGATTTTACTGTAGTCTCGTTTCTTGGCTTTCTCACTTGATTTCTCTATCATGTAATCCAGATAAATATTGGATAGTAAGTTCAATTGAATATTTTTTTTCAAGATGTTCTTTAAATTGATTTAATTGTTCAATTTGTGCTTGTTTTGCTGGTTCATTCTAATTATAGATTATCAAAATAAAAAAGAACAAAACATATTATTTTATCTACCGTTTCAAAACTCGTAATTAAATCAATTCGTTTTATGTTTGCTGGTGATTTAATAATAACTTCACAAAAACGTAAAAAATTACTGATCTAAATAATAATTTATTAGACAATTAGAAATAATTAAAGAAAAAAAAATCATAGAGACTTGATGAAAAGCTCGTATATATGGATCTTGAATAGTAATTTGTGTAACAGTTTCATCTAAGAATCGATTAAATATCTTTTCATAACTATTTCCTAATGAACCATCTTTTATTTGGATTTGTTCATGATATGTTTTAGCTAAAATTAAGAACAATAAAAGAAAAATATTAAAACTATATATATATTTTTTAATTTAATGTTCAAAAAGAAAATCTGAATAAAAATAAAATATATTTTTAAGCTTCGGTCTCATCTTCTGTAATTGTTGATTTATAAAATGAATTAGTAAGTGTTGATGGTGCTGGACCTCTCATTGGATCAGGTGGAATACTACTACAATTTTTATTAGATCCATTACTTATATCACCATTAATTGCATCTATATTTCGTCTATATACTATTTTTGATCCTTCCATTCCTCTCGAACGTAAACGACGACGATAAAATATAAAACCAATTATGCATAATAATACAACTATAACACCACTTGGAATACCGGCAATCATAGGTTTATGATTAGAATGTTTAATTGTAGTATTTCCAAAAGGTTTTTTCGTTGTTGTTTCTTGTGTTGTTAGAATTGTTGGTGAAGTTAGTAGTGATTGATTTCCAATTAGATAAAAAAATCTTGCACTATGCCAATTACTTGACATATTTGAAGGTAATAATTCTGTTATTTTCAATATTAATTCAAGTTCATCTTCATCTGTTTGATATTCGAATATAGGTTGATCAATATTTCCACATAATGACCTTGTGATTTTTCTATCACGATAAATAATTGAATCATAACATTCAATTGTAGATGTTGAATCTATTGTCGATGTGTCATATATTGATAAATCAATAATATAAAGATATATCGAAAGTTGTTTACCGTCGGAAGTATGTGGTAAATAAATACTTAATGGACATTGTTGCACAGCATATTGATATGAATTTGAATAATTTGGTGTTTCAATAAATCCTCGATTGAATGCAACATATGTATCAATACAAAAAGTTGCTTTTAAATAAGTCACTGTTGGTTTCATTGGTATATATTGGTAAAAAAATTGAATTGAATCACCTTTATTGCCATGATAAATATTCAATTGTGGACCAATTGGTATTGAATATATATATGAACATGATTGTTGGCCAGAACAGAGTGCTTATGGTTGTTCACTTAAATAATGACATGTATATTGTGTAATATCACATGATTCTGGATTATTTGTAACAAATTTATATGATTGTAAAAAAGACAAGACCAAAATCAGATGTACATGAAAAACTTACACGTTCACGATCAATTGATCTTGTACAAAGAGTTTCTTCTTCAATAACAAATGGTTCTTATGGTTTTAGAGGTATAATGGTAACAACATCTGAACATTCTGTTTTTTCAATTGACTCAACATAACATTGAAAACCTTTATGTTGAATATTATTTGTTTCTGTTTTAAAATTTTTATAACGAATTAGAATATTATTTGAACATGTTTCAAATAATTTACGTGTTAAAAAAATCAGAGTCTTCTGGTAGACTTAATGTTACATTTATACATTGTGTTTGTGTATAAGATGAATATGATGCACTTTGTAATATACCACTTACTGTAAATAAGTCAAGAGTTTGACTGGCACATAGATTATAAACAGTTGGAATAATTGTTAATGTTGATAAACATTGATATGCAACAAAAAGATAATTAGCTATAGCTTTATTACATTCTGGTAAAGTACATATATATTTAAAAATGATATAGAATATGCTTGTTTTCCTGAACATGTTCTATAAACATGATGAGCTTCACTTGTACAGTCATTTGAAGTATAATCACATCGTTTACCATTAGCATAAAATGCTCGATGAATAACAATGATATAATTTGATGGGCATTGAAAATTATTTGCACCGAGTAAGCTTAATAGATCTGGATAACATAAGGTTTTAAATAGCCGAGGAGATGCATAAGGAAAATAATTTGGGTGGGATGAGATTGTTTTTGATTCTATTAGTGGTGAAGGTGATAAGGTAGGACGTGTACTAGGTATAGCTATTTCATCATATAGTTCACTTGGAGAACGTTCACGAATTAATTGTAATGATACAGATTTATGACATGTTTTTAGTAAAATATTTGTATATAATCGTCCACATCATTCTGTTATACTAGCATCAGCTTTAACAATTAATTAATCTTTTGTACAACTTTGTCCAATTATATTTGGACTATTTAAATCTATATCAATTATATAAAGATACATATCTTGATTTGATTTTAATATTTGTAAATCATATATAAAATTAATATTCTTTTGAATATTAGTAAAATTTGGTGAAATTATAAATCCACGACGAATATTATCGTCTGATTTTAAATCATTATTACACATATAATATATATTAATACTTTGAATATCTTTTTATACACATGTATAATGAATATGTAAATAAGTTGATGATCAATATTGACATAATGCTAAGGTTTTAGCAAAATGATATGCAATACAAGATGTTTTACCAGCACATACATTTTGTATTGTTGATGCATCACTTTGAAAACAATCATTTTAATTATAAATGCATGACATTGTTCCTGTAATTCCATCTGGTTTAGCTGCATAGTCAGCAGTTATTATATCAATAATATAACTAGATGAACATTTAAGTGTTTGTAATTGACTTCGACATATATCATAAAATGTTGAATCTGTAACATCTATATCACAAAAAACCCATTGATGATCTTTATCAAAATTATTCGTTAATAAGCACCATGGATCAGTTAGATTTTGAAGCATTGTTGCATTTGGTGGTCGATCTAAAATACAATTTGTATATTGATTGCCTACAGATATTGATCTGAACAATGAGCTAATCGACGTTTAGTTGAATAGGATAAACAACAACTAAGTAAATCATGCTGACATTGCGTTATTGTTGATGTTGTTTCTTGTACACAATCATCCTGAACAAATCCACATTTATTTGATGTTTGACTTTTAACACCATAATATATATCAAGTATCATAAATATATATCCAGATGGACAAGTACGAGTTAAGGTGTCACCATAACATATATCATATTCAATTTCATCAAGTGAACCTATAAATGAAACATTTGTTAACAATATTGTTTGTGGTGTTTTTGGTGTTGTATGAATAAGTGTTGAATTAGTTGATATTGATAAAACCCCTTCTTCTTCTCCACAAAACTAATCAAATGGCTGTGCTTGAGTTTCAATATATAATTCTATACCATAGGAAAACATTTGTGAAGCATCAGTTATCTGATAACGTAAATCAAGTTCATTTAAACAACTTGAATAAATGAAATTATGTGTTCGTTGTTCAGAAAAATCTAAACCTTGATTTTCATTATCTTCAATAAATGTTATCTTATTTGATTTACCATCAGCTACATAATGATTTAAACTAATATCTAATGCATATAGATGCATTAGATAACCAGGTTTAGTTTTTAATCGATATGCATAATTCATTGGTGTTAAAGTTGGATAATTATAACTTTGAAATCGACCAGTACAATCAACGTGAATAGTTGTTTTTGAACCATCATTTCGACATGGACTATTGATATGAAGCTATTTTATTATTACACGATGGAATAACTTCATTTCCTCGATACATATAGACACATGTTTGATGACATAAAAATAGTGGATTTGTTGTAATAACACAATGTTTAATTGCATTGTGTCTTTCACATTGATCTGATGAAGTGACACCATATATATTTGTTGTAATTGCGATAACATAATCATTTGAACATTCAATTATATATGATTCATCTAAATAATTTAGTTTTTTTTTCAGATAAAATATGAATATTAGAAAGAAAATATTGAATTATTTACCGGTACAAATTTGAAAACTTCGTGTCAGTGATGCAATACCAAGTATAACATAAATAGGTGTATTTATTGATAAAGTCGGTTCAATCAGTGTTAGTACTACTATTGTACTTGATACTGGTGTTATTGTTATTTTCGGACAATAATCATTAATTGGTCGATGAACAATTTCAAAATACATTCTCATTCCTCTATATATTGAAAAATTAGACGTTACTAAATATCGCACAGTAATTGCTGACGAACATAAATATGGATAAGCATATCTTTTATGATCACAATGTCAATATGTTTCTATATTGTCAACAACATAAGCATGATCATTTGCACAATTTGTACTCTCTGAATCAATATAAAGATGTGATAACCATAAATGAATTATTTTACTATTGAGTACATGTATAACATGAAAGCATTCGAATGTTGTTATTTAAAGTTGTGATGGATAACCAGGACTTCAAATAATTTCATTATCACTTGTTATTTCTGTACCATTTGAACATATATCATATTCTTTTGATTTATCATTTATTGATATTGGAACACAATTATATTCAATATGAAAATTACTACTATATTGATTATTACATTGAGATAATTTCTGTTTTTGTAACATAAATTGAACATTGATTTGAATCATTCAAACATGTTATAATATTTATACCCTCAACAATAAAATCACTTGATGTATATGAGCATGAACCCAAAATTTGTGCAACATTATGTGAAGCAGTTCGAACAATAACAGTATAATTATTGGAACAACAAATTGTGAATAATGATGGTACACATAAATCTTGTGAAACAATTGTTTGTACATTTTGTGTATGATTGAAAAAGAAATATTGTAATATGTACAGAAGAAGATGGATTGTTTTCGACATAATAATGAAAAATTTGCTACTTTCTTTTATTAGAATAGTAGCATGTGTGATTGAAGAATAACGACGTGAACGTAAAAACAATAGAGATGACAAAAAAAAATACTTTAATGTTTTATTCACTTAGTTCGAAATAAAAAAAACTAATATAAAATGATGTTATTTTAAGAATTTTATCCTTTGTCTTTTTTGTGTCAATTATTCTTATATCATCAGTTGAATATCGCTACTTCATATGCCTGCATGATTTTGTAGAACAGTTGTAAAAATAAAGAAGACAACGAAAAAAAAACATCTATGTCAAATACTTTCTGTTGCTTCTTTTTCTTAACTAAATGAAAATAATCTTCTATACCTTTTTCTTGTTGAATTAAATCTTTGAGTTTTTCAGCACGATCAATGCATTCTGTAATTTTCTGTCGATATGCTGCTCGTTTTCGTTCATCACTTGACGGAATTGCTAATAAATACATATGGAAAAATTATTAAATTAGGAAGAAAACTTGATAAATGAAAAAACAATTATTCAAAATAAGTACCATCAACAAAGATGAAATCATTTTTTATTATAGTTTCTGTACAATCTTCATCCTGTGTTTCAAATTAACTTATTGATAACAATTTATATGTCATTTTACTTTTTAGCTCATCATCATATAAAACGTGCACCATTTTTATCATATCTGCCAGAAGAAAGATAATATCAATGCTGATTACAAGAAGTTCGTTCGAATTAAAAATAACTATACAATGAATTTTCATCAGAAATTATTCTAGAGTATAAAAAAAAATGAAATCACAGTTTCACTCTGATTGTTATGGATGTGGGCGTAGAAAAAATCCATATAGACACCCACATTCACATTCTTGGAGCCCTAATTCTGATGAGGCTCAAATCTCACCAATATACATATTCTACTTTCCATGATAGGAACTGAGTACTGTAACTAGTCCTTTTTCATGAACCATTAGTGATCGAGAGCCATCTGTAACAAGACAAGACAATGTTCAGATTATTATTATTGAGTTTCTTCGTAGATCTCTAACAAAAAAACTAAACATTTCTATATTTGAATTCCTTAACTCGATTAATATCAATAACTATCTTTTTATATCAGGTATTCATAATAAATGTTCAATGTAACTCTTCACAAAAGAGAAAGATAATAACCTTTTTTTTTTTAAAAGAACCAATATTTTATATCTCTTACCTTTAACAGAATTCAGCAACATACGAACACCTTCAGAATAACAAGTGAGTGCATCCGAATATTTTTCTTCACCATCGAGTTGTACTGCTCGTTTTAATAATTCAATTGCTGCTGTTTCACTCATTATCTACAATAATGTGTATACATATATAATACTCAATTTTAGATCTATAAACAGTTCCAATACTATTCATCTTAGATCAAATATCATTTTCTCTCTGTTCAATCCTTCTTTGGTAATTCACTTACATCAGACTAATGTCTTTTTTTATTCATAGTAAAATATGTTTATTTTATTATAGATACAATAAAATGTACGAGTTACACACAACAACAACAAAAATTAACTTTAGCAAGGAACTTTTTATCAATAGACAGTCAAGTCCATATCTTTCATAATAAATAGATTATTTCTCGTTTTCAGCAACCATATGTAGGCATGAAACAAACTAAAACTTTTCGGTTTAGAGTGTTGGTCTTCTCCATGGAACTAGAGCGTTGATCACGGTAATAAGAAAAAGTCTAATTTATTGACAAGCCTTCGAATAAAACAGACAAGTTACAATTGCTTTGCAATTAATAAATAATTTTGTACCACTTATAAACGAAGGAAGATCTATCGATCCTTCAATGAAATTTTCAATTTAGGTTTGTTTATGCTGAAGAAAGCGTGTTTTCGTGGACATAACAGTAATTGATAGTACTTGACTGATGGTGATCGGAGTTAGATGTAATACTAACTTTAAAAAAGTGCTGTTTTTTTTTTATTGAATATTCAACATAATTTCATAAGACGAAGTTTCATTCACTTATTTCTATAACGGTTGTTTTTTGTATTTGTCGCATGAATTAAAATCAATTTGAAAAAATCGCTTCAAAGCCTTTTATAACTATTGAGATACTTTTAATGATTCTATCTTAACATTTTATTCAAAAAATGTGAAAGACTATGCTTTTGTATACGAGCAAAAACAGCGAGTTTATTTGATTAATTTAAATTTTTGAAGATGTTTTATTTCTATAAAAGAAATCTATGAATATGCAAATCTTATTTGATACAGAAAAGTCTAAAATGGAAAAGGGTTTTATTTTGCAAAATCTAAACGCCCTCATTCACAGGAATATCGATTTATTTTTAGTATTATACAATTATATTCTGATTGATAAAATGAATCACTCACTATAAACACGAATTAATGATGTTTGAATATAAGGATTATTAGGTGAATATAATAAAAGTTTTTGTTGAATGATAATATCAGGTTTGTAATCATGTAGCATGTGCTTATTACCAGATTAACAGTCCAAATTTGCACATATTTCACATTATTAATCGAAAAGATCTAAAACTTTTTCATATTGTTTAGAATCGATAAATTTCATTTAGTTCTAAGTCAAATTTCATGAATGACGACATTGATAGATCAAACTACTATTATTTTGAATCAATAGCATGTTTTACTCTAGAATAATAAAAATAATATAGAAATATGCCTGTTTTCTAAAATATAAAAAAAACAATCGGAAGAAAATATTATGTTGAAGTTGATCGATGAAAAATAAGCTCTTTTTTTATCAATATATTAGTTTTCGATCTGCTCGCATGAAGTTGAGTCATACTCTTATACTGATTGGTATATTTAATACAGCAATCAGTATGAAGATGAGAATAAAGGCAAAAATACGACTAAACCACCATAGTATCTATTTTCTCTATTAATTTTCTCAAAAAACAACAATATGGGCATTGAATAATTGAATTATTGTTGATTCGACAGAGGTAGACACAATCTCTCTCTTTCTATATATATATATACATATGTGTGTTCACGTCCAATTTAAGATTCATCTAGGCGAATTTTGAATCCAAGATTGAATGGGTAGATAGTTGAAATTATTATGCACACGTACATCCACACCATTGAAGCAATTGATAGACTATCTGAACATTTTCCAGGCTATCTCTGTTTCAATTCCTGCGTTGCTTGTTGCTTTTGGCTAAGCAAATTATGTATATAAAAAATGCAGAGGAATAATAGTCAGTTCCTTATTATATTTCATATGCGCGATGGAACGGAAGCGACTAACCAAACAGTTGGTCTTGCATTACAATCTCTGGAAATTCTACATTGGAATACCGAACAATAATAATCATTCACTCGTATCATATGAAGAAAAATCTGAATTCATTGAACGGCTCAGCATCATTAGAAAACAATATCAATCCATGAATAACAACGAGTTATTCGAAGCTATATTTCACTGTGCTAAATGCATTTTTGAATAAGCGAAAAACGATTCGTGTATGACACGAAGAGATCGAATGGAATCATTGGATTATCTGAAAGTTCTAGTATGGAAGAATCCCTGTCGTCTGACAACTATTTTGTCTTAGACTATACGATGCGTGCTGGTAATTGCACTGACTCGTGTCGTAGATTAGGTAAGATTTTAAGATTGATAAAGTTCGCAAGTCCAGCTTCGGATAAATTTAAAGAGTTGCAATATGCTATAGATAAAATTTCACCCACGAGTTTTCAAAACAAGATTCGCACAGATGGTTACTACAAACTCTCCGATGATATAAGGAAATTTTAGCGAGAATATTTCCAAAAAGCAACTGGCCATAATAACTGATAGATTTGACGGCGTTCGGTATTCGTTTATCGTTGAACTGATTCAATAATTGAACAACCATTTTGTAAGAACGATTCACACAATCCAATCCGATCTGAATTTCATATTCAACGAAATCAATCCGGTCATGGATGTTGAAGATAATATTGTTGATTTCAAGTTGAGCCGTCAAGGATTCGAATTGAGACCGCATAAGCTAAACTCGATCAAACAGGTTTATCACACTCAGCTTTTCTTCGTGCTAGACAAAATCGTTTATATCAATATTCCTAACTTTCTCATCAGAGAAATAATCACTGTTATATTTTAACTTTTTTCATAAGTCGAATGCTGAACTTGAACTGCCACAAAGACTCTCATCGCCGATTTCAAGATTAATCATGGATGAGAAATCAAATATCTACTTCATCAATGAATGAAGACTTAGTGTGTGAGAATGAGGTGTGGGTCTTCTCCTCAACAACAACTGTACAACCATACATATTCTCACACTAACGTCCACATTTACGCCCTCACCGAGAGAATTCTACAAGTTTTTAGGAAGTTTTTAGAAGCTTCTTTTGCGATTCAACAGTAGCTTTTGATGATTAAGATCCTATGATTGGCCATTGACCTGGAAATAGACGCATACGCACGCGACATGATACATGCAGATGTTTACTCGATTGAAAATATCTACTTTATTATGTGAACAGTCAATTAGTCGCTCATGCATTAGATATAACACGCGAACGACATAGTGTTACTCATAGGAAAAAATTATGGAACAAGAGCTCTTATAAAAAGTCAACAAAGTTCTAATATTAATTTGGATAACTTTATAGAAAATACTTATGTTTATTGTTGTGGAAGAAATATAGCATTAAGTTGTACGAAGCTCAAATTGTTGTACTAATTTCGAAGTGTTTGGATTTCATTGTTGATATTATCCAATCGTGGTTTGATATCATTTAAATGACCTTGACCCCAAGTTTGCCATAGTTGAAGAAGTTTCTGAAGAGTTACTTGAATAGGATAAAAATTCTCCTAAAATTGAGTGACAGTTTCTAGCACTCGGTATTCTTCACTGATTAGTTTGTACCTTTCAACAATCAGTAACATATCTCTATTCAAACACATTAAATTCTGATAATTATTACAATTATAATTCAATTTATAATTGAATACGTCTTGAATGTGAATCAAATTGATGGTATTTCGCCACTTGGAAACGACAGTTTTCGCTCGATTGATTTTTATTTTCTCATTTACCACATAACCTCCCTCATTCTAATGCATAATAATATAAATAACGAGATTTATGTCATCAGTCATCTCATTAATTTTTTGAATAATCTCGTCATCGACTTCAGTCATTCTTTCCATTATTTTCATAGCATTTATAACTGCTCGATTCGAATTGGATGTTACTGATCTCGTTGTTGCACCATTGACGTTTCTGATTCACTTAAAGTGTTTAATAGCTGTTTACTATAGTTTTTAAACAAATTGAATTCAATCTAAATGACCAAGTAAACAATGAACGCATATGTAAGTGAAGTAATAGAAAGAACCTATTACAGTACAAATTCATAAGTGTTTATTAATTATGAAAATAGGTTCATGAACATTTTCTTCAAGAAAGAAACTAACCATTTCAATCGGTATACCTCTCTCATATCCCTTTGTTCAACTGAATTCTTACATGTAACAGTCATTGATTGCTCATCAACATAAACACATTGCAATTTTGAGTCTGTTACATCTTTAAGTTTAATTGAGTCTCGTCGTCACTGTTGGAATGTACATATATTAATAAAAATATTTGGTGATATGAGATATGCTCACGAAATTTTCACATGTGTGCGTATAATCTTCTGAAGTGATTATCCATTGCATAATAGAGTTGGACGTTTTTTCATTATTCAATTCTTTACCAGCTAACAATACATTGCGTTTTACTTAAGAAAAATCATCAACACTCTGCCACAAATCATGTATCAAATCAAATTACTGATCGTACTCTTTATATTAATAGGTGTAAGCGGGATCATGAAACTTCTGTTTGGATTCACAGAATAACATTTAGGAGATATTTTTTTGATCTTGAAGGCTATGCGTTCATTATTTGTGTTAATCAATTTGAGATTCGTTCTTGATTCTCAATTGTGTGAACCTAATGCGAAGTTAGCGAAAAATATTCATGAATTGTATTTTATGATCAATAATATGTATCTGTTACATACCTTCAAAAAAATGAGACTAGTCTGAGGAATTAATTCGAGTGTCATGATTATCAAAGTTTTTCTACAAAAAGTAAACCATAACTTTGAATGAACATTCGTATAAATGAAAATGTATTATTTGAATGTATATGACTGCGTATATCACAGGAGAAAAGACATACCCATTTTAAACATACATGTTGACACATGCAAAAAAAGACCTTCTTCTTACCAGATTTGTCACTTGAATGCTCGCAAGATTATAAAATATTGATAAGAAAAA